CGCCCGTACCGGACCAGGACTGGCAACGGGATTGCAACCCTCGGTGTTGCTCCCACACCTCGCTCAGCCAGTGAGCGGGAACCGGTCTGTATGTGGGATCCGAACCCTCGGCGGGAGCGCCACCGCTCTCCCAAGCGGCGCACTGTAGCAGTGCGCCACCGGGCCGGCCCTACACTACAGCTTTTGATATATAAAAAAGTTCACATAAATAATCTGGAATATCAACTCCTCTTGTAAAGTCAGATTTTTCAAGATCTGGGAACACTGAGTCCACCTTCCCACGAAGCCACACTTGGTGTAATGGCCATCCACTTTAGACAAATCAAATGCTCTCTCATTCAGCCTCACCTCTCCCTACCACCTTCTATGCAGCCTGCCTCACTCACCAGGCCCCTGTTTACATTGAGCAGTTAGGGCACAATGATGAAATGGAAGAGAAAGATGGATAAACAGGAAGAAAAATGAAACCAGCTCCTGAATGACCTAACACAATCAGCCAATGCCAAAGCCAGGGCTGAGAACCTGAGCATCTCATTATCCTAACATATCACAGTGCCATCCTCAGATGTTTCTAGAATCCTGGTGTCTTCCCCTGAAGCCTCTTCTACGTTCAGGCCCCTTTCATCTCTAATAGCTCTTTACATCAAATCTAATCCTGCTGCAGCCATAGCCACAAAGTATTTTTAAGAGATTCCAGCCTGATCCCTATTATTTTCTAGTGAGTCTTCGAAACGTCTTGCTTGCTGTGTGTACGTATATGTGCGTGTTTTAAGGGCTTAACTTAGCTCTACTGTGAACATTTAGATAAAAGGTCCGAAAAAGATGAATTTATAGAATGTTGCTCTTTACATTTAATAAATCGTTCTTAAATAACTAAATGGCAGAAGTGTTGAAATTACATCTAATCTTGAGATTGATGATCCATGCAGCATGATCTATTAGTAAGAGCCGGTCTGTATGTGGGATCCGAACCCTCGGGCGGCAGCGCTGCCGCGCCTCCTAAGCAGTGCGCCACTGGGCCGGCCCTTATTAAATATCTTCACAAAGTTTATTTTCCACATGCTTACAACTAACTCAAACATCTAAGCACTTCAAAAAATCGCATCTGATAATCAATCTTTTTAAGCACAGCCATACAACTCAAAATGGGGAATGTGTGGCGGATAGCTCAAGCCTCATAGAATGTCAGAAGTGGCAAAACCCTGAAAGGAATCTAGTCTACCTTCCTCACTTGCAGTGAGGAAACTGAGTTCCGAGAGGACAGCGAGGCAGTCAGTCCAGAGGGAGGGCTCTCCCCTACCCCACTTTGCAGCTTAGAGCTAATAAGTTCATCTCTCTGCATTTTGTTAAGTTCATGAAAAATCTTGCTTAATTCATAAAATAAAACTGAAAGCATTTTCTCTAAATGTTTACTATTTTCACAGACACTAGTATATGATATACAGATATTTCCCTCTTTAAGAATTGCAAAAGAGTACCAGACATTTATCATAAAGAAATGAAAACTTATGTTCTCACAAAACCTGTACTCAAATGTTTATAGCAGCTTTATATATAATAGCCCCAAACTGGAAACAACCTGAATGTCCTTCAACAGGTGAATTGACGAACTGTGATGCATCCATACACCGGAACACTACTCAGCAATAAAAATGAACAAACTACTGATACACACAATTTGGATGAATGTCAAGAGCTTTATGGTGCAAGAAAAAGAGCCAATCTCAAAAGGTTATGTACTATATTATTCTATTTACCTAACATTCTCAAAAGAACAAAATTATAGAAATGGAGAACAAATTAGTGATAGCCAAGGGTTGGGGGGTGGGAACAAGAGTGATGGTAAAGGAGTAGCACAGAGTCCTTTGTAGTGGTGAAATAGTTTTGTGTCTTGATGTATACAGATGACAAAATTTTACTGAACTATACACACACACACAGAGGAGTGCAAATAAGAATTGATGAAACTCAAGTAAGGTCTATAGTCTAATCAATATATAGTGCGAATGTAACAGCCTGAACAGAAGTGACTCCATTTTGTTAAGTTTCTAAGTTAAAAAGTTTTTATTTTTCCTTACTCCTGTAACCCGAACAGCATAGCTTGCAGCTGGACATTAGAATACAATGATTTTTGTTCACATGATTGCTAGAACATAATGACTATTGTTCACACTGTACACAGAATAATTATAGAAGAAATTATTAACCCAGGTGGCCATTCTTCATTAGCTTACTAATGGTTAACAGGAACAGAATCTGTGACTTGACTTCACCAAGAATCAGCTCCCACCTGAGAAGTTCTTTGATGTTTATCTGCAATTTTATGATTATGCCTGCACGTCCCTGCTCAGGTCACCATGAATCAGCCTCCTACCACCTGTCCCTGTAAAACCCTTTGGTAAGTCTGGAGAAAGGCGGAGATGGTATTTGAGACATAAGTCTACCATTTCCCCAGGCTGTCGTCTTCCTGATTAAACACTACCTTTCCTTACACCAACACTTGTCTCTCAATTATTGTCTACTGAGAGGCGAGCAAATGGACTTTTGGGGTTTTGGTAACACCAATGTGGATTTCCTGGTTTGGTAATGTACTATAGTTATGTACAACTGGAAGCAGCTGGGGAAAATGTACCTAGGACCTCTGTACTATTTTTGCAACTTCTAGTTAGTCTACCATTATTTCAAAACAACAGGTTTTTGAATAGGAGAAAAAGATTCTCAAAGAGTTCTTAACTGCTAACACATACACATTGCATACTATATGCTAGTAATAAGTTTACATGTGCTATCTCGATTAATTCACACACAGTGACACTGATTCCTTTTATTATCTCTACTTTATAGTTTAAAAAAGTGAGCTCAGAAGGAGCAACTAAGTTGCCTAAGATCACTAGGCACAGGAGAGGAGAATTGGCCTTCAATTCAAGCCTTTCTGATTCTAGACTTTGGAATCTTCACCACATTGAGCTACCTCCATAAGAGCTGAATTCTCAAAGAATTAGCAAAGGCAAAAAGCCTCATGTTCCTGCCCCATGGCTGACACAGCAGCCGTTCATCATGGCAGCAGACCTCCCCAGTACCATGGGCTCTGCCTGGCCACAGTCACCAGTTCCATGACCAAAGGCTCCAGGTGCAGCAGGGCATCTGGTGGGCCGGTTGGCAAAGCCCAGAAAGGTGGGTCAGAGGCAGGAGAGCTCCGAGTCCTAGCCTAAACCAGCCTCCACAGCTGACTCTGTGGCCATCCATTTCCCACTGGAATGGGGATATTCATCTACATCCCCTAGGGGTTTGTGAGGATAACAGAAGGAAATGAGGAGCTGGAGCGCTGGTTACTTTTTATTTTAATGACATAGGCACTCAACCCTCCGCTGCTAACGGGCCATTGAAATAGAGCTCCCTGCACCCTCAAAACGTACACTATCTGCTTCTGTAGAATTGCTTGCTTAACCTAAGTAACTCCATTCTACCCCCTGGCTGACCTGCAGACTACCCCCCCTCCCCCATGAGAAACCGTTGACCTTCTCATAGAAACAAAAGCTGTTGCATAGAAACAGGAGCCGTACACAGTGAACTATTATACGGGAACACCACAATGAAAAGTTGCATGCTCGATTGCCCTAATGGCTCATTCCTGGCCTCTATAACCTAGCTCCCTAGCTTGCTTTGTGCACCTGAACAAACCCGTGTGCCAACAGGATTTAGTTTTTGCCTTTGAACCCCCCACAAGACCAAGGCCGGAGGCTGCTCTTCGTTGGTTGCTCCTTGGGAGACGGACGCTGGCCAGCTGGAGTGAATAAACTGCCCTTTTCTGCAGAGTGGCGTTTAAGTACATTTCTTTTGGGAGGGTGCCTCAGCCATTGGTACCATCCCCCAACCCCGGACCCAGGCGCCCCCGCGCGGACCCGTCCCGGCGCCAGCGTGCTTACCAGGGCCCGCAGTTCGTGCCCTGTGGCACCGGGGCCAGCATCCCCGGCTGGAACAGCCTCCTGTGGCCCGCCATGGTGTCCCCGGCTCCCCGGCCACTGCGGGGCCTTCGGTGGTGAGTGTCCCTGGCCTGCCGCTAGCGTCGGTCGCTAGGTGACCGCGCACCGTGCGCTGCCCGGACTTGCCCGATTTCCCGGGACACCTCCCGCGCCCCCCCTGCGCAGCGCAAGCTCGGCGGTGCTTTCGGCTGCTCCGACGC